CTACATGCCCAGCCCATCTCATTCTTCCCGACTTAATCACCCTGACAATACTGGGGGAGGAGTACAGAATTTTAAGCTCGTCATTATGCAGTTTTCTCCATGCCCCATCGTCTCACACCATCTAATTCCTTTTCTAATTATTTGTGGCGTTGTACCTCCATCGCCCCATATACATGTACAGTTTCTTTACAATTTATCACGAGTTAATTTATTCATGTTTTTAATTGGGCGTAGTCTCGTGTGTCGTGCGTACAAATTTTTAGGCATAACGAAAAACAATTCAAAGCGTAGCGTTATATTATTTCAAGAGAAAATTCTCCGAAGCCACATTGCAGCTTACGTAAGGATAGATAATAGATCTTAATAATGCATTAGAGCCAATTACATTTCTTGTGACGCTGTTACGCGTAATCTGTTGGCCCCTTCTATTGACTGATTGTAATTTGTGTGGCGATTGTTAGCCAGATGTGTTTCGAATAGTTCTGAACATTGTTGCCACTCCAACAATTATTGTTGATCTGTAATGGGCACACACAGACATGAACATTCCCAAGATACGAATCTCTCGTGTTTTAACAAATTGAAATGCGCTTGGACGCCATGTTGTCTGCTGTCTCTCTCTCTCTATCTATCGTGTAATATGACAGGTTCAATCTCCCTAACTAATAAGAAGGCTGTATTTAAAGTGCATTGCGCAATTTGTATTTGCAAAACATACTTTTCTTGTAATGACAAGTCAATCAGGTTAATATAGCACTTCCTGCCATAAATTAGCTTCATAACCGCACCTTACATCGCAATTTGCGGTGAACCGATAATTATTCTCACAAACTTCTGTCTTCTGCGTCATCTCACCATGACGACAGATCATGCACGTTGGTCTTGCGTAGTTATGGAATTCGCTCTAAACTTTTTTTTCTTCAATTTTCTGTTCTACTAAGTCGTAAATTTGACAAGAAACTATTAAAATACATTATTTATTTATTTTATTTAGTGTTCTGTCTGACGACAGGTCCATATGAACAGGATCCTTCGATCCTTTTCTCGGACTGGGACCTGTTCATATACGTTCTTGGCAGATGATCCAGAAGTGGTTTGCCATTGCCTTCTTCTGTGTGTGAATGGAGTAATTGTGGCGATGCCACGGAGGAAAACTCCGTGTTGCCGAGACCACGGCCTTGCACAACACAAGTTATAAATTCGGAAAAAAAAATTATTTTGTGTTCTGTCTGACGACAGGTCCATATGAACATGATCCTTCCATCCTTTTCTCGGACTGGGACCTTTTCATATACGTTCTTGGCAGATGATCCAGCAGTGGTTTGCCATTGCCTTCTTCTGTGTGTGACTGGAGTAATTGTTGGGATGCCACGGAGGAAAACTCCGTGTTGCCTAGACCACGGCCTTGCCCAACACAAGTTATAAATTCGGGCACCGCCGGGAATCGAACCCGAGACCCCAGGATTGCAAGGCCAGCGTTCTAACCGCTAGACCACTAAATTATAATTGTGCGTGTTGCCGTCTGCTCGGCGCGCTAACAAAAACAAATGAAACTAAAGTGGCGTACGTATTGTACCCAACGAGAAATTAGAGAGGTATCGATTATTAAAATGCCTCGAAACGAACCCTTTCAAACATTTCAAGTGTCTGTGTTCATTAATTCTTAACATCAAACCGGACGCTGAATATGGATTTCGAGCCCCAACAAATGCTGCTATTTTACGTCATAAAGGAGAAGTGCGAAAATAAAAGATTAATCTTAACGATGATTAATAATTTTTTTATCCCAGGAGCTTAAGACTAAGCTTACACTCCCACTTGAGACGTTCTTAACTTTGTCTTTGCCTGTATTTTGACGTTAATAAATTAAAAATGTGCACTTGGGATGTCCTCTAGTGCACGCACGAGTATAAAACAAGTTCACATAGTCTGCGAACTTCGAATTAAACCTACGTCGTCCTCCAAAGTCAAAATACGTGAGCTGATAAACACATTCCAGAACAGCGTAATAACATCCATCACATTCCCTTACTAAGGCTGTAAATCTGAAGTTAGAACAGCCGAAATTTTCAGTCCTGAGACAAACGTAGGCAAGCACGCTGCAGTCTAAACAATTGTTCCCACAACTCAACCGGAAATTCTTAGTTTTTCAAGTTCGCCCAAGGCATTCTTCAGGAAATTTCTAAACCCAGAAAGTTATTACGTGCAGCTGCCTGGCGTTTCTGCTTAAAACGTGCCTCCACACAACACCCTTAACTCTACCATCCGCCATGACAGGAAGCAGTTGTGGTAGTTGGCACCCCTGCTTCGCTTTCGATACATCCAGGTTCAAATCTTGTCCAGAACGCCACCTTAACACACAAATCGTCTTTATTTTAAAGATTAATTTGTTAATAGATAACATTGAAATATTCGAAATCAAAATAGAACTCATTTATAAAATAATATTACAACTTTCACTTCTGTCTATTAATAGAATGCATTTTCTGTTCTTTTTGGTTTCATGTGGACTTCGCCACGCAGAGAAACGAAAATATACGCCAACATTGTCCTGAAAATGGGAATCATAGTCGATTAATTGACTGGACGAAGCCAAGGCTGAAATGTAGCAGCATTTTAGAATAAAAATGGGTGTATTACAAGCATGACATATGCCCTTTTTTCAAGCAACCCTTTAAAGCCTAATGGTAACTCCACGTACCACCTGCTTGAACAATAAATTCGCGTTTTGGTTTCTGTGGGTTTCGTGAGATTCTCGATGTAAACAGATTTAGTTACGTAATCAGCGTTAACAAGTCGATCTTTGTAATGGTGAAGTGTGGTGTTTTCTTCGCGGTACGGACTCAGTCCTTAATATTATTTAGACGAGCTTCTGATCCAAAGGTTAATTAGCGTTTTAGTCGTATTATTTCCTTAAACAAGGTTAACCAGTTGATCTTTGTAATGGTGAAGTGTAGTGTTTTCTTCGCGGTACGGACTCAGTCCTTAATATTGTTTAGACGAGCTTCGGATCCAAAGGTTAATTAGCGTTTTAGTCGTATTATTTCCTTAAACAAGGTTAACCAGTTCATCTTTGTAATGGTGAAGTGTAGTGTTTTCTTCGCGGTACGGACTCAGTCCTTAATATTATTTAGACGAGCTTCGGCTCCAAAGGTTAATTAGCGTTTTAGTCGTATTATTTCCTTAAACAAGGTTAACCAGTTCATCTTTGTAATGGTGAAGTGTAGTGTTTTCTTCGCGGTACGGACTCAGTCCTTAATATTGTTTAGACGAGCTTTTTTAAATATAAGTTATTCCATCTTCGGCTTCAAAGGGCTGAACATCACACTAATAACACAATGGTAAACTACCTGGCTATTTCTTTACGTACGCTATAAAATAAGATTACGTATGCGAAATATTTATAACTTATGGTGATTTTTAACGTGACCGATAGTAGGTATTATAGAATAACAAATCTACGGCTGAATTGCAGAGAAACACGAAGTGGTTTTGCCATGTTTAGAGGATCAGACTGAAACCAGATGGACAAGTAGAATGGTTACATAAACACCTTCCCATGGCATAGCAGATAACAGAAAAACTTTGTATGTAGATGCTGGTATCTCAGTTGTTAGGTCTGTCAGAAATCTTCTGGGTTGTTGCGCTGTGTGGTCTGTTACGGACGTTTCGGAGGTGCTTGCGTCCTCCATCATCAGGGCGATTAAAGAGGCGGCAAGTACCTTTGAAGATATGGAGAACTTCTGCGGCGCAACCACCCAGAAGACGGCCATCTTGAGAGGTTAAGAAATTTCCACATCTCTCGTCGTTTCTGTCTCTTGTCTTGCAAGCAACTTTCGGCGAAAGATTACGATGTAATAACGAGGCTGGAAGTGAAATTGAAGAATATATACTTTTCAGTAACATCTCTGTCGTAAGAGGTGTTGATTTCATAAGCGGCATAACGTCCCCCCTGTGGTCAGAGACGTGTTCATAGACGATCCACGGCGTATTTGTCTCACAGAAACGAGGAGCTTTTTTTTAAATTTAAATCTTTACTCTGAGAATTACGCATGCGCACAAGCGTACAGTTTGACGGTAAATTATAACCTACAAGTGTTGCTGGATTTTTTTAAAATTCGTGTGGAAAATATCGATGTTATGATACATGTCACTCGCGCGCGTAGACGCAGAGAGAGAGGGGCTGAGGCGTACATAAGCCACTCCTGCAGGAGATGCCTGATAGGAGCCACACACAGTTTTGTGTGAACTCTGTCATCGGCTTATGTTCCTACATAGGCTTTTTTTAGTGCCTTAGAAATGGTCAGTTCTCCGCCCAGCAAGAAATAAAGAGCTGAGATAATAAAAAGATGCCGGAAAGGTTAAATAATGCCCGTAAAGGAACAGCATGTCGTGTTACGGGCTTTGCCGTAAACGTCGACATCGAAAAATCCAATTAGTGCCACACACAATGATGAAAGATTGCGAAGCCGCTCAAAAATTTTTTGAAGTACAAACTGGAAAAGAGAGAAGGCGGGCGGGCGGGCGAATGGTAATAAATACCAGATATTCCGAGATTTGTATGTTTAAACATTTCAAAATTATACACTAGACGAAGACGAAAATGTTTTTCAGGGATATTACTGCTTATGGTCTCGTAGAGGTTGACCGACGTTTCAGAGATACTTTCTGTGGCGATTTCATTATTTTGTTGGGTTTTAAGGCCATGCAGACGCAGTCCAAAATGATTTTCTGTAAGAAACGAATGTGTCGGTCTATAATTTCTGAATACGGTGGAGGGAGTTGATAAGAAAAATCACGAAAGGAGATGGATCCACGTCTTGTACCCATTTCTCGACCTGTTGAAGCCAAATCTCGCCTAAATGATGTTTAAAATTCGATAAAAACTTCTCAGGCAATAAGCCACGTCAAATGGTTACACGAAGAGAGAGACCAAGGTTTCGATAGTGATCTTTGTGTCCATCATCAGGGTTATCAGTGGGCTCTCATGATGTTTTCTTTGTCTGCCCCTGATACACAGAGGAGTCCCCTGAATTATTGCTTTTCAGACAAGATCAACAAATCTGCAATAAGACTGAAAATCATGAGATTGTGGGGGGGTAAGGGTCTAGGGGGGGTAGAAATGCAGTTCACCTGGCCTGTTGCCAGAGGACCGGAAGAGGGGCACATTCCGTAAGTGGATGACGCATGAGCCCCCCGGACAAAAAAGTTGGGTTACGTCTGGGGATAATTTTTTATAAGCTCAGGTGTAACCAAGCAACGGCTAGGAGCAGATTAATTTATGCACAAAATGTGTAGTTGTCTCTTCATAAAATTATGCAGGCATTTTTAAATTTAAATGTCCATTCAGTACGATACACGCGTAATAGGAGAAGTGTACCTTAAATTACGTCACTGAAACTTCGATAAATCAATCACTAATCGTATCACAGACGCCTTTGTTACTAATTGAATTCGTGGTTAAGAAACCAGCAGAGAATGAATGAATGAATGAATGGATGAATAGATCAAATTTAGGCAAAAAGGAGTACTGTAGAGTAGAACCCAAAATTTTAAAGTTGTGTTTGTGGATTGTAGTCTTCTGGGTAGTGATGTCGAATAGTCTTCCTGAAGATGGATGCAATACGATACACCGAAACCTTGTGAACCAAATGCAAGTCCATAAGGCATCGCAGCCCGTAAGACCACGGTCGACATCTTGACCGCCTTGAGAACCTGAAGTCTCACAATCCATGAAATGTGGTACACGGAAGGAATTAAGTAAGTTGAATGTGTGGTTAGGTTAGGTTAGATTAGGCTAGGTTAAGATAGGATAGGTTAGGTTAGGTTAGGGATAAGCCAGTTATTTTCAAGTAGAGAAAGACATTCAGTAAACTGTATTCGTGTATGCTAGAAAGTCACACTTTACCACAGTTTTGAGGGACGTGCTGACATCATCGTCGACCAACAAAACTGCGGAGATATTGTCTTTAAGACTCGAGTATTTTGAGTCAACTCAAGGAGTTTTATATATCAAAGTAGTCTGTTACTTAATCTAGTATTTGGCGTAGTTATTTTGTTTTCCAATAAATATGAAACAACTAGAGACAGGGATAATCCTACGTTATTCAATTAATACGTAATTAAAGAAATTACGTATTTTATGTAGAATATCTGCTGTTAATCGTAGGTTTTAAATTAAATTTTGTTCAGTGCTGCTTTTTTATGACTTCAGAATAAGGAAATTTTGTGTTTGTTCAGAGGAAAAACTGTCTAAGTCTTTCCAAGGGCTTCCATCTGGATGAATGTGGAATTTCATTTTTTGGGAGCCTTCAGGAAAGGTAGACCAATTTAACCCACGAAGACATTGATGTAAACATCCATGCTTTGTGATAAAAACTACATAATTGTCTAGACCCATGAACGAAGTCTGGCTTACGTGAATTCTCGGAAAGTTGACGGTCGATATGGAATTTCTCTGAATGAAATCCAGTTTTTTTTTCCGTCAACAAAAACCAAAGATCTCTCTCGCAGTTCAGATCTTGACCGTTTGATGCCGCCAGCTACAACAAGCGCGTGTAGTACTCGACTCCATCAATAGATATCGCCAGGTGACAGGAGCGGTCGGCTTTCGGCTCTCGGTAATAATCCATTACATCGAAAATTATTTATATAAAATGCATTAATTAACTCCGTGGCGGGGATCATTCCTTGAGAAGGCAGGAGGTAGACGCCAGAAGCTGTTGAAAAAAAGTCCCTGCGATTTACTAAACTTGAGATTTCATTGCCATGTCAACATCAGCCCACCACATATCCCTGTACAGAAAATTTGAATTAAAATAAGATTCAAGGTTATGGAACCTTGAATCTTATTTAGTACAGTTATATGCATTTTTGTCTGACTGTTTATTCCGCGTGGATTTGTGTGTCTATACCAGCGTTTGAGGAAACATACTGCCTGCATCTTCAGGGTTTGTATCTATCTGCAATTTCACTCGGCGTTACAACTCGAAAGACCAACATCGATATCTATCTGTATGTATCTATCGATATCTGTCGATACATACAGATATATCAATTGAGGTATGTATCGATAGATATCGATCGATACATACAGATATATAAATGGAGGTATGTATGTATCGATAGATATCGATCGATACATACATACATCCATTTATATATCTGTATGTAATGTTCACGTAGAAATATAATAGCCCTTTATTCTGATATGGGTTGTATATTGTTGATTAGTTCTGTCAGCAACAGATGTGACTGTGAAACAAGTGAACAACGACGAACGCAAAGTCGCTAAGCACTAATTTGTAAAATTTGTGATTTCCCATTGTCTGAACACACACGTTTGCTGTGTTGCCTATATTTCATGTTGATGGACTGGTTTTGAAACAAGCGTCAGTTCGCTCCGTTCTCCTACCAGAGCCTGGTTTGACATTGAACTTGCATTCCATTAAAAATGTTACAACTTTCGAGGCAAGGGATTTTTCCGCTCTGCATTTTAATGTGACTAAAATTTATCGTGCGTATTAAATAGGAGAGAGACAAAAGGTTTTTTTTTTCACTGAAAAAAATCACAATTTCACTACCAGAAGCACGTGGGGGGGGGGATTGTCTTCGTCTGGTTTGTGTCTGTAATTACGACATGACAGATGGCTTTATTCCTACAGAGTTTATACCCAGACCGGCTCAGTTGATTAATAGGTGCAATATTTCACAGCGTGTTGCAGAAGGGAGGCACACTAAGATTAATAGAGACCCGCATAGGAAGGAAGGCGATTGCACAGAAACTCAGCCGGAACACACATCTGACATATCACAGTTTTATACCACATAAGAAACAAACGGTTCATTTTACTGACAGCGAACTTATAAAATACTGTCATAGTACGGCAATGTGAAGCCGAGTGTCGGGACAGATGAAATTCTGAAATGAAATGGGAAACGATGCTGAGAGAGTGCAGCAACCTGTGGTCCGCGTGAACATTTCCATCTGCTCTTAATTTTAGATTCTATGGGCAGAACCACACGAAAGTAAGTGTCGAATTTTCCACATTCAAAAGTTTTTGAGTCCTCCTAAAGGAGAAATAACGTTTTGAAGATGGCTGTATTCTGGGATCTTTCGCCTTGTAGTGTGGTTGAAAAAGATCAGTCATCTTGTTACACGCAGCCATGAGAACCTTAAATCTCGCCAAATAATGTTTTGGTTGAAGTTCAGTCAGAATTAAAACTTTACGTATTTTGAGTTCCGCTCTTCGTATACACTATTCTCTTCCTGCTACCCGAAACTATCTCTACGGAAACATCTTATATTATACATTAATTTTATTTGTTATATCAAAGTAATTAAAAATTAAAATGGTCGTAAAGAACACGAGCAGACATTGAAACAATGTTTATTAATTCCTTTGTTATTATTACAGAGTATTAATGTGATAACGTGCTTCAGAAGCTGATGGTCACTCAGATGCTCAATAAACCGAAAGCAGATTCATTTTCGTGAGATGACGTAATGCAGGTCAGTTCTTTGGAATCAACAGCAAATAATTAGCAGAGCACACGTTCGATCTACTGTTGGTACAGGAAATCAGATGGGACGAGGGAGACACTGAACCAGTAGACGATTATGTATGTTTCTATGGAAACGGTAATGCTCGTCACATGGGGACAAGCTTTTACGTAAATAAGAGGCTTACGTCAGCAGCTGAGAGGGTTCGGAGTTTGTTATTGACAGGATGTCATATGGAACATCAAGAGGTCCTGTCTTGTCGGATGTAACGCGCTGTAGTCTGGTGGATATTGAACGACTTTTCAGACGATCTTCATTCCTCATTAATTCCCTGATGACGGAGAGAGTAAGTTCGTCTGAAACGTCGGTCAATATTTGCTAGACCACAGTGAAGAACGTGATATAAGAATTCAGTCCGTACCGCAAAGAAAACACAGCTCTTTACCATGACAGATATTAACTTATTAACCCTTTGAAGCACGAAGTTAATATAAATCATATTTAAGAATTCAGTCCGTACCGCGAAGAAAACACTTCACTTCACCGTCACAAAGATCAAATGGTTAACGCTGTTTAAGGAAATGATCGCTGTCTGTAGTGAGAATAAGACTTATTAATGCTGTTTAGATAAATTATCACTGTTTAAAAGGGAGGAAATCTGTCAGGAGACGGTGTTATGTTGGAACCTAACCTTCCCGAGTGTACAGAATCACACAGAACTTCATTATCCGAATGGAAGGGGCGGTGACACTTTGCGACAATTTAATAAATCTGTTGTGTTAGTCGGTATGCATCGTTTCCATTATTGTCTTTAACAAAAGGAGAGCTTTGGAGACGTTTTAATGACAGTGCTCAGAGAACACTTACTTGCGACGAATACAATTCCCCTCTTATGTTTACGTACAGTCCGGGGGTGGGAGTGGGTCCTAGACTGATCACTCATTCTGCCGTAGCTCACTATACACTTTTATCACCACGTAGCCGACATGCAATATAATTTCAGCACATCTCGGATGGATTTTGACTGAAGTGTTCTGAACCGTGTCCCCCTCACTTCGAGGCTTACAAAGCGTAACTTCGCTGATCGTAAAGCGACTGATTTGTTTGTATTCAGCCGTTAAAGTTAACTTTGCGAGGATTGCACCTCTAGAAAGAATAACCCTTAAAATATCGGAATTTTATGCTGGGCTTACATTTGAATAAAAATTGTCTTGGATATTATCCATCGTCTAGTAAATAAAATATATATAAATATTTACTAGACTATGGATAATATCCAAGAAAATTTTTATTCAAATGACTCATCACCATCGTAAAGAACTTTTAGATTTGATATGGGCCTACATAATCTATAAAATTGTCATATCAAATGAAGTCATTAAGTTCCAGATAAAATGCATAGGCAGGTGTGTAAGGATTGGCATGTTTAAGAGACGACATTCGTGTACAGTGTCTGGCTAAAACCGCGGAAGAACTTAGGATAACCGTAGCCTTGTCAGACAGCAAAAATTGATACTCAAATCGGATGCTGCAGACGCTTGAGATAAATTATCTCGGTTGTTTTGTTTTTTTTGCGACTGGTTGAAACACGTCGCTGTGCTCGGTTCATGTAACACGACAGTTGACATTCTGACAGACGCAGGAAGTTTGAGATTTGAGATTCTCACAACGCGTTTAAGTTTGCCGATACTGTTCTATGGATTTTGACATCATGTAGACTTCATCCCTGAAGATAGATACCGTATGTTTCTTCGAAACGTTTGTATTCATCTACGAGTCCAGACGACGCCACAACTCAGAAGAGAAATATCTCGGCTGGTGATTCTTCGTAAGACAGGAATTCTCTCGTCATTGACGTGCGATTTAAAAGTGAATTTGGATTTGTGTTCTGGACGCGCCGTGAAATTCCTTCAGCCCCGATAAATTGGTTTAGTCGCCAAGACTCTGTCCTCACAGCCTCGTATATTTAATAAGGTTGTAGCTTAATTAAAGCTGGTGTCACGGCTCCTGGAGGGACTGAGAAAGAATCGGTCTCCTGATTGAGATGTGATTATTAAACCTCCCTTTCGAAGGATGTTCGTCCCTTTAGAAGGGTTTCAGTACGTTTGATGTGTACCACGAGACTGATACGGCCGATTAATTCTGTATATCGGAATATCGGAATGTCTGAATACCAGGCAGGAGTACACTTTACCGACAATCAAATTATAATGTAATCAAAGCAAGGAATGCTGGAATATTGCTTTGATGTAATGCGCTACAAAGCATCGGTTGCTTTTGAAGCATTGCTGAAGATTTTCGCGTTAAGATGGGGCCTACAAGCTAGCGCGCGCACACACGAACTGAACTAATGGATTTTATGGAACATATCAGACGTGTTTGTGTAATTATATACGAATCTGATAGTAGAAAATGTTTTTGTTTTTTTACGTTTTACGACGTAATAAATGAAATACGATGATTTTAACAGATACGACCAGCATTAAAATAGGACATTAAGAAACAAAATGCGAATAGAAAAAGTAACGTAAAATATCGACAGTTCCCACGTCTTGACTATGATCATCTAATTATCTCATATAACTTGAGAAATTTGAGTTTGTAGAGTTGCAGTTAGATACCAATGTTTTCAAATAAACGTGTCGTATCAACTCCACATGAACATATCTTACTTATTTCCACCATGATATAAGGTTACCTATGATTACGAAGGTTTTACCAGGCCTGAGATTTAATTACATATTTATCGTTGCGAAATTTAATCATTCTCGTGTTTTGAATGCGAGGGGGGGGAAACTCGAATAAGTCGGGCGGAAGTTAGGGCTGTTATCGACCGAGCAACGGCTGCTTTCATCTTTCTGTAGTAGTTTTATCATCGTAAGCGAAAGATGGAAGCACAGTATATGCTTGACGTCATCATGTACCAATGTTGCCAACGAACGGCGCTACGTAGCCAACCACTTCGCAATGTGGATACTTCCATGATTATTATATATTATGTTGGTATTATTTGTTTTATGTAATATGGTGGATGTATGATTTTCACGTGAAAGTGGATCGGTATCAGTGCTTCTTGGGAAAAGTAAGTTTCATATCTCACAGATTATGGGTTTTAATAAGTGTTTTGTACATTTGCGTGTACTTTCATATCCTGGTTTCCTGATGTTATTGTTGTTTGGACGATCAGTTAACGAACATTTCCAAGCATCTTCGTTGAACCGTAATGTATTACAATTTTTTTATCTACAGGAAATTGAGGACATATCAGAACACGGACGTTTTCAATTGTTTGACCACAGATACAAACCAGAGGGAAGTCACGAAACACATAACATTTGTACAAAACGTAATTTTCTATTGAATTTAATTGCAATGGAAATATTTGTTGATGAATTGCCCAGAATTTATCAGCGACAGAAATAATTTGCAATGGAGATTTCTCTCGTAGTTATTCCTCTCCCCTCTGCTGATGATCGGCCAACCACTGCTCCATATTCATCTGTGACCTCTTCACGAGGTGTTGAAAGGCCTTGGCCAAGTAGCCGCTGGTCCTACGTTAGGGACTTGACTCTGACCTCAAAATTGACTGATCCCTGACAAGAGGCACACACACACAGAGGTCTAAATGTGTGTGTACAATTATATGCCACCTCCGTTTTAGACATAGGACCCACGTGTGCTTATTTTCTAAGCAGAATATTGAAATCTGTTGAGAAAATTAGTCCTGTCCAGCGATCAGCCTACTTTCCAGACGCTGTATCGAGCTACTGTGTCACGCACAGCATTATGTTTTAGAGGACCATAAAAATAATACAGCTTCCCGCAAGAGTCTCTCTAATATAATGGAAGGTTCATATATGAGCGTTTGCTGTAATTTTGTGGCTTCGTTATGACGCAGGGGGAAAGAGGGGATTATGGGATTTGCTGGGCTCTGACATGAAACCGAGGTTGGAGGCTACCGGTTAGCAGATGACGTCACACAGTTTCTGAGGGATTCAGATAGAGATGTTTCATGACGCACTAGCATACCTCCTGAGGCAAAGGCTGTCTAATGGAACTAACGATAGAATATCAGTAATTGTGACCTTTAAAAATAAATTTCGAAGTGTAAGAAATTAATCCAGACAAATTTGAAGTGAATATAAATTTCTTTTGATATAATTGCATTTTTATGTAGGTCATGTCTCCCAGTTTGTTTTATTCGTGTGTTTTACTTTAGGTTTGAGGGCGAATACAAATTAATGTATTTATTTATCTCCATGACGAATATTTCATGAACACGTGCTTACGTTTACAGTACGTACATACGTGCATAGGCTTATATACATATTTGATCGTCTCGCAGTACATCTCGTGAACATTTCATCGGTAAAATTGAAACATTCTGATATCAAAAAAATTTTGTAAATTACGGAAAAATATAATATTTTCAGACCAGAAGATCTAATCCCTCGCAGTTTGCCATTTTATTACTAGATTTCATTGAAGCGACAAATAGACGCTGGTAAATAGAAGGGGGCAGATGCATCTGTCAAGACTAATGTTTCCTGGACCGTCACCATCCCAACTCTGTCTGTAATTTTAGATGCCATTTAGGAGGAAATTCTATTATGGGAGCGTTGAAAAATGTCATACCCTTAATAATCTTCCGTCTTCTGTCGGAACGAACTTATTAATTCAAAGCGTAGGCCTTAATTTGCTAATATTACAACCACGCGTCATTGATTTAATTTAAAGAGTCAAAACGAAACGAGTACTTACCCTTCAGAGCAGCGGTTATCAACGTATGGTACTCGTACCAGTGGCGGAACGTGAGCCAATGAACTAAGTAAGAAAATCAAAATATAATATTAACATAAATAAGTTTATCCTGAACGCATTTGGTTAGTGGTAGAGAAAACGCTTTAAATTATAATTAGTGGTACGCTAGCGAAAAACGTTGAGAAACCCTAATTCAGAGTATGAAATAAATTCAAAATTCACGTAAATATTTAACGATCGTTTAATTTTTTGAACATAACTTAATCACATTTAATCCTAGAGAATAAAGTCTAGACTGAGGAAAATTATTTTGTAATAAATGTAGGGATTGGATACGAAAGAGAAACTCAAAATATATAGGTTTATTGTATTCTTGGAATAACGTAAAGAATTTAGTGAGATTTTATCTCCCTTATGATACCAAGTTTTAAACTCAAACGAATCGGGGGGGAAATCTTAGTTCTTTGTCTTAATGTCTGAACAGGAGTTTGTATGTTTTTCCTCTCCGGATTTCATCTAAATCGTTTTCAGATACGGACAGACATGACGAGACTTAAAAGTGGTATTGGGAAAATTGTTAAAAATTAAACTAAAATTGTGTTTCTTTCTTCCTACACACTTCAAAGATATAATTAAGAGAAGAAAAAATATGATCAAAGGAACGTGAGAAGAAAATAATCGAATTCTCCTCATTCGTCACGAGCTGTTTCACTTAAACTTCTAACTTTGTCCGATGAAAGAGGCAGTTACTTTGAAAAGGAGTAGAAAACGCGATGCAGAGGAAAGGCCCAATAATTGGTTTCTATAAAACGGGTCTGGAAATTTATGAAACATTTCCGCTTTATTATTTATTCACAGCCGATTTTATAACGTAATTAAAATCGGGTTTTCATTAAAATAATAAAACGTCAAGGAAACTTCTAATTCGTTTAACAAACCGTCTTATTTTTTATCTTTCGCTACAAATCGATTCCGTACCTGAAAGAAAACGCAGTCGGTCTCCATGATAACGATCAGTTGGTGAGTGTTCTAGGAAGTAATGTGTTTACTACGAGAATCATGCGAAACCCATAAATACTGCGTGTTAAAACAGGTGGTACTTGAAGTTAGTGGGCTTTGGAGACAACACGTTTATCGGAAGGATACAAAAATGTATACAGCTGTTTCTGGAATACCAAGTCATAAAACTATAAATAAGATACTAATCTTATTTGCTACTAATCTTTTATAGCAGAATATATTCTGTGCACTGACTAACGAAATTGCTTATGTATCTCTATTGATTTCACGTTTCGAATTATTCATTCATTTATTCATTTTATCCTTCAGATTATTTTATTTAAGTTGCTGACTCATGCATGTGCTTATGTAAATATATTTAATTTAAACGATCGTGTAAATTCATAAGCAACCAAAGCTCTATAATAAATATTTTTTTCTTAAAAAATTATTGTATTTATGAAGCAAAAAGGTTGTAGCGCCATATATTATTATTTAAAGGTGCATGCTGCCTCTATCGTCAGGGCGATGTTGATAGAGTCAGAACGCAACCCATAGAAAATTCGGTAAATTTTTATCGGACTACGCGGCGTTACATCCCAGAAGAGTCATTTTCGTAATCGCCGAGAACCTGAAATCTCACCAGAGAGAAAACAGACTTAAGTTATCACGCAAAGCCGTAAGCTGTCTTTTCTTGGATCATTTGATTCCTGTATTTGACGGAAAGTCTTGAAATTGTTTGCATCGCCTTGACCTCGACGGGCAGAGAAAAATGTTGGTTGTGATCCCTGGAATTTATTTCTTACGGAATTCTTACTGTTCTGTAAAACTTTTGAAGAGAATCGTGTCTGTACTCAATAGGAATTTTTTTTTTGAACAGAAACAACGCGTTATAAGTTGAATTGCCATGTATTGAGAGAAGTGGTTTCGTGGCAACTGCCACTCACGAGGAAAGCGTAGGGACACAGAAGATTAATGGCGAGTTTGTACGTCAGTGGGCGCTGAACACTTTATGTTTCAAGCAAGACACCCTCCACCCAGTCGTGGATTAACGACCATGTCTTCTGATGGCACGCAAAGTACTTGGGGATTTCATCCGAAAGTTTCTAACGATGGTTCAGTGTTGCAGTAACAGTCTTATTGGTCATTAACCATTGTATTAATTTTAATTCAAAATGACGTTTCGGAGACTGTGTCGACGGACATAGTAACTAGTTCTATCAGTTGGGTCGAATAGAGTGGATTTTACCTGAGAACAGATACAGATTTTAGTCTCCGAAACGTCGTAATTTTATTAAAATTAAAACTGTGGTTAATGTTAATACTGTTTGTTTTTCCAAGTCAATGTTGGGATAGCACCTTAATATAGACTACGACCGCTACCTTACTAGTCCTTACCAATTCATTCATAATTATCCCGGCATTACAATAATGCAACATATGTAATTGATGAAACGTCGTTTAATAAGCCAAGGCAACTTAACAGTTAGTTGCTTGAAATGTAATTCTTTTGGCAGGCGTGAGGTGATGGACAGAGGTTGACGCGCTGGTGTCCTGTGACGGAAGGAAGGACAAAGGGATAGGCGGGTGGGCGTGGCAGATCTCTTCTGTCCCGTTGCTAGGCAGCCGGCCGTACAGTACGCACCGCGACGCTCAGCGCCGGGCGATGGGTGTAGGAGCATATGGAAGGCTGACTTGTTGGACACGAGTCACCGCCGAGGAAACTTCTGTCGTAGCTGTCGTGATCCTGCAGCTCCTTGGTCGAGACTTCACTTGCACGTGCACCAGGTATGGCCTGTTACTATAGCAACGTGTGTTTGTTTCTGTACATCGCGTAATTGCACAATCTCGCGTCTTTAAAATCGCGTCTCATCTCGTGAGTGAAATTAAGGAACTCGATGACATAACACAAAGAGCCCAAGGCCATTTAAGCAGCGTTATGGTTCGGTTCATCGACGTTTAATTCGATTATTTTATTTACTATACAGTCAGATATTTGGCTGTGATGTCGAAACAATTTCTTCATGCGATTATTATTTTTTTTACATATGAATTTGAATCTTGTTATACATTACACATTTAAAATATTTACCAAGAATTCGAAGTAATTATTAAGTAAGTGATATTTCGCTGTGTTGTTGAAAAAAAAAACGTTTCAGATATCCCCCTCCCCGATAGAAGCAGTAAGCATTTATGAAACGTCAGTCAGGCTGCAAGGTGCAATATCCCAGGAGACAGACATTATTATAGGAGTTAAATAAATTCAGGGAAAAATCACGTTGAGATAATTATAAAATAATTTTAGTTGCTTTAACATCTGGTACAAAATAACATTCGTAAATCAATACTTTTATCACAATCCCTGTGATAATCTGATTGGCACTTCAGAGCCTCGTAGTTTCGTATTGCCGAAGTGTGTACTACCTTCGGACAAATACAGTGGTACGTGTGGGTTGCTCATGCGCAGTACAATGAGCTACAGTATCACGCATCGGGATTGATACTGGGTTCAAGGTCACGCAGAGATATGGGGCATGTACCGCGTAATATATTCATCTTGTCATCCACAGCCGCGTTTCATCATGAAAATTACAACGGAGCTTTGGCTGAAGAGATAGGAAATATTATTATAGTGTTCAAATGAAAGGATCAGATGGGTGAGGCATTTAGCATGGGAGAGATAACTTCGTACACGATTTGTAGTCGATTAACGTGAAGGGAGGAGACCAGTTCTGGGATACGTTGTCGTTGACGTGAGGATAATATTAAAATAGATGTTAAATATAACGTGGACTGGAATGAACTGGCCTCGGTTGTTGTTTCTTATGAACATGGTTAATGAATCTTCGTGTTTAATGATCGGATGAGTGACGTATGTTCTCAGGACGAAGGTATTTCAGTTTGGAAATTTATAATTTTTGATGAATAAACGCCTTCCAGAGTAATACGCGAGGATTCTGAATAAATTATCATTGAGAGATATGCAAATAAATGTGCCTCGTAAAACAAATGAAAACTGTCGTTTGAGAGTTTTTTTTTAAAAAAAAATTAACGTTAATAAAATTCAGCTTCAGCGGTTCGTATCTTTGACGATGATGTCTGTTGATGATAGTGTAGATACATGACCGAATTATGAACGCGTTTTCCTAATTCAGAATGCGGCAGTGACAAATGTCGTCGTCTACGAGAAGTGTGACTCTGAGAATAAAAGTGGCGTAGGGCAAATACGAAGCATTGTGGTCACTTTAAAAAGCAGATACTGGAGACGGCGTGATCCTCCGAAACGTTGGTGTATACCTAAGAGCCCCCCTCCCCCTTCCCCCCCAAAAAAAAACCGTCGTGAAGATTAATATAGACGTTCTATGTTTTATTTATATTTTGGATTTTGCGGATTATTCCACCAGATTTGTCGCGAGTCGGAATTCATTGGCAGGGCTTCATAGGTGGGGGATCGGCCCGTAACCGGGCTTGCATCTATGTAGGGCAACACAAAAATTGACACTTTTAGCGAAGTCGACAACAGAAAATGTCTATTAGTTTTGAAAACACTTAAAGACAAACACCGGAAAATGACCAGTTAAGGTCGAAACATGTAGTGGATTCTTAACAAACAATGAAACTATCTTCTACTATAAAAATTTCTGATTCCCCGTTGTCGTCAACCAATTTGTAGACAAACAATTACGTCATCAATGTTACGTCAAGTGTTTTAACCCTCCATTCCGGGGGGTTAGTTTAATTTCTTACTCGGAGGGGGGGGGGTTGGTTTAGTTTATTACTCAAGATTTTAAAACGAAACGCAACGTTGAATTTTAAGAACTTCACCAACCCCCCCGAGGAGCTCCGAAAAGAGCGCTCTGCTCTAGTAATAAAAAATTGTTGTGAAGACAGACTTTCAACGTCATTAAAATGTCTCTGTTTTATTAATTAAATGTGTGTATACATCTTTGTGGGACATTCTGTACAATCAGTTGATGCAGTATCGTTTAATAGCTTAGTTAAGTACGTAACAGCACCTTTGCATTGCAATTATTATGGGGGTCTTAGTGAGTAGACTCGCTTACGAAGCCAGGAACCGAACTGAATTTTGATGTGCTTAAGCTGTGGTGTAATCCTCAGGCTGCCAGAATTTCATGACGCACTCCGGCGTTCCCATCCGCTGTTAGCATAACTGAACTGTCTACGTATCTGTGCAACTGTACGCCTCGCTTACCCTTTGATCCTATTACAAAGGTGCAACACAGAGCGAAAATTAATTTCCGAAGCCTCGCTTCATGCGAGTAATCACGACGGGTTAAAACACTCGTTTCGTCATCATGATCTCTACAGGATTCGGCTTAATTGTCTGTGTCTAAAGTCTCCAGGTGTGGATGCTGCTAGTATGAGACGAATGGCTCGTGGGATGTTGAAACGCGTAGTTTGGTCGAAATCGACAGAATTATCAGAGTTACTTTCTGCCTCCGTCACCAGTGAAATGCTCATCTTCATCCCCTAAGTCTTTTAAGGCGTCCAGAATCATTTCCCACAACTGATAAGTCCTTCAGAGCAATATTTGGAAATCTCGACTGCAATGCTTTTAATCTTTCGGTACCCTTCCTGTCCAGTACGCAGGGTTACAAAATATTATAACGATATCGGTCTTCTAGACTACTCTGAAGATGGAGGCAGAAGGTTTCTCCTTAACGTTGGTATGTACCCTTATAAGTTCGCGCGGCATTACAACCCAGAGGACTGACGTCTTCACAGCTATAACTCGATAAATTTTGGCTTAAAAGCAGTTCATATAAAATAAAATTTTAAACTTGGCTTAGGCTATTACGTATTTCTTTGTCTGTGGCCGAGGTTTGTAAGACAGTCGAAACACCTGCTTTAAGAGGTTCATGTCAGTGATGTACATTGATAATAAATAGATACAGCGGACCTAATCGATACTATTCCAGCTAGGCGTCGATCAAGACTTGATGCCCGTCACTCTGGATTATTTATACACGCGTGTATATTCCGAGGGCTGAACACACTGTTCACTGTTAGTCTCGCGTCTCCCGTCGGGTTGTGAACAGAGCTTGGTCCGCCATTATCAGAACTGCGCAGACGGATACGAGACCGCACCTGTTGCACGTTGAAGGAGCTACTCGCGTATTTCTTTCCCATCGGTAGAATCCAAGTTGTTTGCTGTATCTTCCTTACTCCAATCTGCAAGCAAACAATAAGTTTGTCTGTAATTTAGAGGAACGTGCTTGTGATTGGAATGCTGGTTCCTATACAAGATAAGATGATGCAGTTCACTCTCTCCCATTTTAATATTGTAATTTTTATACGCAGAAATCTACCAAGTACTTCCTTCCCTTATGGTTTTCTGATTAAAATATTGTATGCATTTGTAATCTCTCCCGCCAATCTGTTCCACCTTCTTTACTTTCGTCAATCTTTTGAAAAATATTATTATTATTATTATTAATAACAAAACTCCTTTAATTGTACCGGTCTTATTCTCGGGCCAGTAGCTGGGTTTTTTTGTTTAAGAAATCTAAGTCTGTGATTCAGTGTGGCATAAACATACACTGTTGCCTAGTAATCTGTAAAGATTGGTTTAAAAATGTCAGAATGTCTGGAAAAGTAGCTCTCGAACTTTCTTTGGAATCTTGTTATGATTCTCTCTGCCTCCAGCATCCAAAGAAATGAAAATTTTGAGAGATGTTACAAAATTAAATTGGTCTGAGTTCGGAAAAAAAAATACACAGACTTCTTGAAAACTATTAATTAAAAAGTTTCCTCGACTTCTAGATCCATTTCATTCATCTAATCTACTTCTGCCTGACTTCTCTATGAGGACTTTCGATGCCTGCCTCAGGCGCGGCTTGTGGTCTGACCAAGTGCTTTGCTGTCATATATTAAGTTCCCTCAGTTCTGAAACATATATTTTATAACTTGTTTTAAACTTATGAAAGGCACACCCAACGATAATATGCAGCTGTGTAGCATTACGAAAATTATCTTGAAATAACGTGACTGAACCGCCACGGTGGTCTAGCGGTTAGAACGCTGGCTTTGTAATCCTGGGGTCTCGGGTTCGATTCCCGGGCGTGCCCGAATTTATAACTTGTGTTGGGCAAGGCCGTGGTCTAGGCAACACGGAGTTTTCCTCCGTGGCATCCCAACAATTACTCCATTCACACACAGAAGAAGGCAATGGCAAACCACTTCTGGATCAGGTCCCAGTCCGAGAAAAGGATGAAAGGATCCTGTTCATATGGACCTGTCGTCAGACAGAACACTAAATAATAATAAAAAACGTGACTGAGTTATGCCACAACCTTGTGACAGAAAAACAAATTAAGACTGATAGAAAAGTTTTCGTATAGAAGGAAAAGTGTTCACGTTGTGTTAGTCAGTAAATCGCTGTAAGGATCAGCTGTCATTTTGACTGTCAGCTTGTGTGCGTTACAGTATTTTGACACTGTCAAATGTCTACGCCTCATCACTTTGTGTCCCATCCAATTTGATGATACATTTTTCATATTACTGCAGTTTAAGCATATCTTTTGAATTTGCTTAATCAGTTTATTGTATTGGTTTGTTCGACGTAAAAAAGTAACGCCTTAATATTTTTATCAAATATATTCATGTATACGTATTTCTTCCTTCCTTCATGAGAACGAACGTTGACCATGTAATAACGATTATAACATAGGTTTAAAATGTCAACAGTAATTCATCTTGATGTTTTGCTTCATTTTTACTCTTAAAAGGGTAGAAATACGAGACGGAAGTCATTAGAGTAAATATGC